TCTTAAGAGGTACAAAAATGTGAATCTAAATACCTACGACCGTCTCCATCACTGTGCACATCAAAACTAAATAATCCATCATCCTCAATATCACAAGCCTGCACGAAATGAAAATACACATATCGGCATAGTTGAAAGAACAAAGACTGATGATCCTTCATATCAAGCAATCTTCTTTCTTGTAATAATACACTTACGGTTAAACTCTGTTTCAGTGTTTCAAATGAAATTACATTTTCCAGCAAAGTTTAAAGAACAGAGATTGATCTTTTAAGTCAAGATTTTGTTTGCAATGTGGGGAGCACTCGATCTTGTAATGTTTTTGTTATAATCTATAAATGGTTATCATATCTTTCCCTATTTCAATGAAGCTTATAAACAAACAAACATAGGATGATAATGACCGCTCGAGATTGTCCAGTACCTGAATAACCACAGCACCAGCGGCGTCTCCAAAGAGAATGCAAGTCCCTCTATCCGTCCAATCAACAAACCGAGATAAAGAATCAGCTCCAATCACTAAAACATTTTTAAATCCGCCACCTGAAAAAAGAAAAGGACAAGAATGAAAGACTTATCTTACTAATTACTAATCAATCTGGATCTTATTTGTCAAATTACCCCGTATATGACAAGCAGCTGAGACTAAACCCAAAACAAATCCACTACAGGCAGCTGTGATATCATACGACAACGGGTTCTTTGTGCAACCAAGTGCCTTTTGAATCTGCCATCAATAAGAAATTATAGCGAATCAATCAACGGGAATTTTCACTCCGTCAAAGCGATATATTTAGATCTACGGGTCAATAAATACCTGTGGAGCAGCACCAAATAGATCATCAGGAGTGGAAGTACACATCAAGACTAAGTCAATATCTTCAGGAACAACCTCTGCCATTTCAAGAGCTTTGGTTGCTGCTTCTACTGCTAAGCCAACTAAGGTATCTTTGCCTTCAATTGTAGTTTCACAAAATTAATATCTCTTTTATGATTGATCATATAGCAGAATGAATATAATGCTACCTGATACAACTCGACGGTTGCGAATACCAGTACGAGTAGCTATCCATTCATCATTAGTATCGACTATTTTCGCGAGATCATCATTAGAAATCAAAAGGCTTGGCACTGCTGAACCAGATCCAATTAATTTGCAGCCACTCGGCACTAGCCTTTAAGTATACAGAAACAAAAAGGAATGATGAATCAGAGACCATTCACATACTTTTTCGAGTAATTCAAACTAGAAAAGAGAATCATTACATAGAGACTAAAGCTTACCTTAAGATTT